CCCCAAAACCCCAAAACCCCAAAACCCCATTGAGGTAAAAATTCTGGAAAAACTAATAAAATTATTCAAATTTCAGGTGTGTATTATTTATATGAGGACATGTACTTTGCAAATAAGTTTTCAAAAGCATATCCATTTTACTTGTCTATTTTTATATTTGACTTTTAATTCTTAAATGAAGCCAACTCAGTTAAATTTCTGTATTTATCAACAATTTCAAAAACTCGTTAATCAAATCTACTAGTTTTAGCTAAATCCAAAATATCAGGTATTAGCTTAACAAGATCATCAATTAATTGGTTTTCAACTGGAATAAATTTCAAGCATTCTAAGAAGTCTTTATCATCAAATCTTATGAATTAACTCGAAGATTGAAAGATGTCGCTGTAAACTCTACTGAGGTAATCTTAAAGTATCAAACTTATTTATACTGGTTCATCATATAGTTAGTCTTTGTAGAGAGTAAATTACTAATCACCAAATTCATTCATTTTGTCAGCAGTAAGCTTTCTACTTTTATATAGGTCATCACAGATAAGATTCCAATCACATTAGTACTTATCAATTAAATCATCTATCATTACACATTCCTCCATGCTAGCATTGAAACCCAACCCTCCAAAAGGATTCTAGGCATGTGCTGATTCACCAACTAGCTAGAAATTTCCGAATTTCCAAGGTCCACATTTCATTGTTACTATTCGAGTCAAATTGCATTTATCAAAATAATCTTTCATATTAGGCATGAGTAATTTTGAATCAGGAAAATATTCAAACATGAATTTCTGAAATACATCAAATCCTGATTTCTTAAAATACTCAAATGAGTGCTCCCCAGTAACTTTCATAAATAGACCTATATTGATATCCCCAGCGAAGTTTGGTAGGCCCCACATATGGACATCTACATTATTTCTTGGCCAATGAAAAAATGTATTTTACTAAATTCTAAATTTACTACCTTCTTAAGTCTCCAAAGCAGGAATTTAAAGCTCTGTATAACCATATCCATTATACTCTCTTGAATAGCTAAATCCAGGTTTAGTTAGGAAGGCTTGCTAAACAGCTGAGTGAATGCCATCAGTACCAAAAACCATTTCATAACCTCTTTTTGTCTCTATTTTTCCATCTGAGTACTTAACATCAAAACTTTATTAATCAATCTGAACATTTGAGATGCAAGCGTTGTAATGAACTATAATATTGTCCTAAAAATCTTGAATCCTTCTAGCGAGAATCTCTTATATCTCTACTCTATTTATTGAATAAGAAGTGCTCCCAGGAAGATTGCCCCTAAAAAGTATCTCAAACTCATCTTAATTTTGCAAGATAGTCTTTATTTAGAACATTTCTATTGAGTAATTTAAAAATTCTTCAAAAACTCCAACTCTTCTAAGAGCAGGATAGGATCTTTTAATAATCTTAAGGTTTGTGGATCTCCATTCACCAGATTAAGAGGTGGTTAATGGATCAGGTCTCTTCTCAAATAACTCAACTTTGAATCCTCTTAGAGCTAGCAAAATTGACAATACATAACCCACTGGGCCAGCTCCAATGACTGCGTAATAATTTTTCTTTTCCATAAATTAATTATTAATCCTCAGATTCCTTAATTAAAATTACATTTTAGAACAACTTTCTTTTTTTATAAGAAGAATAATGGGCGCTATTAGGGGTTTTGGGGTTTTGGGGTTTATTAATCAATCTGAACATTTGAGATGCAAGCGTTGTAATGAACTATAATATTTCCCTTAACTAAAAATCGCAATTTCTTGTCTAATCAAATGATTCATGCTTTGATAGAGTAAGATCAAGAAGTGTAAATTTATAAGTGTATCCTAATTCTATATCAATATTCTCTTTTTTCTTAATTACCATATTGTTGTCACTATAGAATTATAGGAAAATTGAGTCTATTATCTTAAGGATCTCAAAATTTTTAACATTTAACATTGCAATAATCTTTCTATCTTTGTAGAAAAAATATGGTAAATCATTATACTGCCTTTTCAAGTTATTAATAAATATGAATGATTCATTGATATTGAATCTTTTCTAGCAACTTTATTTTTTTATGTTGTATAGCATAATATTATTCTTGATACTCAGACCTAAAATATTTTGTTGCACTAATCGAATTGAAATCACACGGATAAACGGAAGAAGTGATTTTGACTGAACAAATTAGTATGATTATAATCCTTTACGATTTATAGAGCAAATTTTAAACCCAAAATTAATATCTGCAAAAGCATAGGTTTATCGCTTTGTTTGCTTCGAGATTGGGCACCAATCATATACGTATTCAAAGCGCTTTATTTTAAACTATTACAATGATTTTTTAGTGGCTAAACTAGCTAATTAAATAATACCATTTTAAAAATAGCAAAGAATGATGGTGTCATCATTAAAAAATATGATTCAAGATATATCATTCTTCAATATGAAAATATCTTTTTCTACTAAAAGTGAATTTTCATTTTTTATTGTTGAGATAATATTAACATGAGAATACAATGAGGAAATAACTTTTCTACTGTTTTAGTCATATTCAGATATTCCTACTTCCAATTTCTTTATAGGCTAAAGATTCAAATCTAAAACCATACACTAATTTTGATAATCTAAACATTGCAAGAGAATATAATCATTTATTATTGCTATCTTTCGTTTTAAATAACTAAGATAAATTCCTTCATATTTTTTAGTTATTTAGCACTGAATGATATCCTATTATATTTTAACAAGTTCCATCTTTCCAGAAATAAATAATTTATATTCTAAAATACTAATATTAGTTTTATTACAAATTTAATTTAATTCGTGCAAATCAATATAATCTCAAACTGTGGGGTTTTGGGGTTTTGGGG